TGGCTCCTCGTGGTTTTTCATCCCTCTCTCATCAAAAGATTTATTTCTAGCGGCGCTTTCGAGGGGCGTGGGGCTCCGGAGTTATTTTCACCGTGTCTGAGGAGCTGGGGGGAGGCAAGGGGACACCCAAAAAAGCCCCAGCTGGGTACACGGTGGCCTTGTGTGGCACAAAGAGCCCTTTCCAGCACCCGAAGCGGCCAGAGAAAGTCCTGCTGGCCACCCTGAGCGTTTGGGGACAGGCCAAGTGACACCAATTTTGTGATTTTTTTTTTGAGGCGGTTTGCCGGGTTTTCAATTTCTCCGCTTGCCTCCCTCTCGGGGAAAGGAACCTGGCTCCAAGGGAACCTCCCAAGAGTGATTGCAATAACAGGATCTAGAAAATAAATGACGGGGAAATTGGAAGGGGCGGTGGGATGAGAAAGTTTCTTCCAAAAATTCGCACCAATGCTGCTGGCGACACGGAGCTGAGGGAGTCCCGGAGCCAAACAGAGGAATTCCCCGTCCAACTTCTCAGCACAGCAAAAAAAAACAAACCAAAAAAAACCACAGACGCTGCCAAATTGCACTTTCGATGGATTTTCAAATTAAGGGAGTCTCCAAATTTGGGCACAGAGGAGGGAGAAACAGCTAAACAGCTCTGGAGGGACGGATGATGGTCCTAAAATGGAGAAGGGCTGCATCCGGGTGCGACGAAACCTGCCCAGGACCCCAAATCCACCCTGCCTGAGCTCAGAGAGACAAGCAGCCTGCAGGAACCGCATCTTTTATTGCTCAGACACAAGTCGAAAACAAAAATCGGGCAAAACCCAGTTTCTACCAACCTCGTTTGTCCAAACAAGAGGTTTTTTGGTGCACTCAGCCGCATTTTTACCCCAAATCGGGGCAAGAAGTGCCTGCCAGTACCTGGTTTGAAGCCAGTGCCAGCGGGACCGACGGCTCGTTAGTCTTTAGTGATGTCCAGCTCCAGCTTCCTCAGAGTTTTTTGGAAGAAGAGGGGCGGCTTGCAGACGAGGCTGAGCCGCTCGCCAAGGGGCAGCAAGAGCCGGTAGGCGTGGAGGTGGAGAGGAAGGTGACGAGCTTTGCTCTGCTGCAGTTTCAACCTCTTCAAGGTGATTTCTGGAAGTTTCTGCGGTGAGGACAGGAAAAAAATCCTTTCCACAACCCCGTCTCTTCAGCTGGGACGCGAAAACCCCGGCTCAGGGGGAGTTGGGGGGCACAAAGGGGCTGCCCCAGCCCTAGATCCCGCTCTGGTTGTCCCCCCCATGCCTTACCTGGGGCGCCAGTTTGCTCCAGTGGGAATATTTGTGATCGCCCAGGATGGGGCACCCCAAACCGTAGGCGAGGTGAACGCGGAGCTGGTGTTTCACCCCTGAGGAGGGAAGAGAAAAAGGAGAAATGTGACAAGTGGATGGATAACGCTGGGCTAAAAGCACCGGTGAGCATCCTGGCAGCAAAACATCACCCCCCAGGGTGGTTTGTCCCCAGAGCTTCGGCCCAAAAATTATTTAAATCAGATTTAATGATGAGTTCCCACTTCCAGCGCTGTTTTTTGGCACAAAAAGTGCAGCCAGGGTGGATCTCGGCGGCCAGGCCTCACCCGTGATGGGCTGGAGCTCCAG